TTAAATTTCAGTCACGTTTATACTCGCACAGATTCACGTTATAATATCCAAGTCGACAAAATTATCGAAATCTAATCGAAAGTTTATCAAAACAATTAACAACTTGTACACTCTTTATACTCGCGATTTTAGACATAAGGTTGTCAACTTAAAAAATACCAGTACTGGTATATAAAGAATACAGCAAATGTCTATAAGCTATATAAAAATAACATAATGGAACAAGAGTAATAATATTTACAACAATGACAAAATTTAAACAAGGACAAGTTAAGGAAGAGCTAGATGCAGGCAAGATCTAAAAAAATATTCATAATTTCGTATATGTACTTGGCCGTAGGATTAATGTTTTTGTCATTCATTGACACACAGTATAAAAATAAATTATTTGTACCCAACAAGCTAAATTTGCTGTTATAATCAACTATAAACTCATTTAAAAAAATTTCTCGCAGTCTTTCTCGAGGTCTTTCTAACCTTTTGTTACTACAATGTGAAAAATAGTGATATATTGTATATTAACTAAAGCTCCTCAAAAACTTTCATATTAATTTAACTCACCTTTGGCTCTAGTTTGTATATCCGATAACAACACGGCCGCTCATGTTGTAAATACTACTTATTGTTGTGGTAAAATATTCGATCTATAACCTTCCTTCAGCTAGAAGTAATACTCGGGAGTAGATTTTCGCATGTACTGCCTGATCGGACTGTCGCGAACTCGCCATTTTTTAATACGAAAATATTTTCGAATGCAAGTATAAATACAATAATTGTAATATTTTATATACTCACTAAGACTGTAACATGAGTAAGTAGGGTCGCAGTGCTCATAAAATAGTTCATCCAATCATCCATAAAAACTTCATATTCATAGTGTTGTGATTTCACACTTTTAATATTCCAGAATTTTAATTTTTCAATGGGGTTTCCCTGCAGCAGCATTCCTCACTTGATGATTGGCTGCAACCACCGCAACCGCCAATTACGAGCAACCAATCACAATCGACTTTACGAGCACTGCGACCCTACTGCTTTATTGATCTGTGTTCAATTTTATTATATTGACTTCAATAAAAACGACATTTGTTTTTCTTATAATTACACTTGCAAACAATAACTTTGAAGAAAAAACAGTCCGTGGACAAAACGGTTAATAGTTTCAATATGTTTACAACTGTTGATGAAAACACAAATGATAAAGGATTCAAGGAGTCTGACTCGATTGCAGGACAAAGCAAACCTCGAGGCAAACCTAGACAGTGCAATTTTTTGTGCCAGCTAAATGTAAGTACATTATTTGTATAATACCATAAAAATCAAACGTTCTGCAAAGGGAAATATTATCGAAATTGTACGTTTATAATTCTTTTAGAGATTTGGTGGCCCTAAAAAGGGCCGTTTTTTTTATAAATTTGATTCATGAAGAATAATTTTTTTTTCTTCTTTCCACTGATCCACCAGGGCTTTGCAATACTTCAGCTTGTCGATCAACAATTTGGAAGTTGGATCTTTTAACATGTCCTTCGATGTCGGCAGTTTACCACGACTTCTGAAGTACTGCTGCTCGATTTCCTTGAGCTGCCGTTTGCTGTTGGCCTGTGCTCGGGACACAGAGGTTTCCATGACTTTGAAAACGTGCAGGTAAGCCTTTATTAAGTCATTGTTATTTGGTGAATCCTTCAATCTTTTCCTTGCCTTGTCAAACTGCAACACCTCCTCAGTTATTCCCAGAACAAAGCCCAGTGCACGCCGTTGCTTCGTTTGTGTTTGTTGTTGCCCTTCTGATTCTATATTAAAGTAATGGATGGAATGTAATTAGTAAAAATCTATTATCATTGAGAATATAATTTAGTTCATTCCATCGGACATATTTTAATACAGATTCAGAAACTTACAATTCGTGATGAACCTATATGTAGTTTGTATAATTATTATGCAAATACATGTAAGTAGGCTAAAAGTTATCAATTGTTTTATTGTTGATTACATACCTTTCTCGGTTTGCTGATTGTTTGCTTCAGAGTTATTTATATCTTCTACATTTTCATCTTGGTTAGCTTCTTCCTGGAAATCATTGCCAAGGCAAGTATCGTTAGTAACCTCCACTAACCTCACATTACATTCAACAACATCCTTTTCACCCATCAAACCAACCACATCGTCCATGCCAGCAACACCATCACAACCATCCACACTCCCTTCAGCAACAACCCCAACATTCACACTACTTTCGGACATACAGTCTTCGCCAATTTCCAAACTTTCAACACCACCTATACCAATAGCCGCTGCCACCCTGTCATTGCACTGATCAGTGCAACCCGTACCGAAAATCATGGCGTGACATGAGCGATATTCGGGCCATAAAATTGAGCGAGACATGAGCGATAATGAGCGTGACGATACACAGCGATACACGGCGTGTCTCAAACGTGACATTTTCGAGCGAGACATTGGGCGAGACATGAGCGATAATGAGCGTGACGATACACCAGCGATACACGGCGTGTCTCAAACGTGACATTTTTGAGCGAGACATGAGCGATAATGAGCGTGACGATACACCAGCGATACACGGCGTGTCTCAAACGTGACATTTTCAACCAAATTTCACCGGTACTGGGCCATACATTTTTCAGGCCATAATTTTGTCTGGCCTGATTTTGGCTGTATTATGGCTCCACATTTAGGCCGGAAATTAAGAAACGCAATCGCATTTTAATACGCAGACAAGTGAAATAACACATATCAATACACACATACCAAGATAGCACGCAATGCTATTAAATCAGGTCAAAAATATAAAGCAAGTTTTTAAAAATTTAGTAAATTAAAAATCATTGACAATAGTTTACACTTCAAACTGTTGGATAAAATGCATTTGTAAAGTTAGCTTTTGTTCAAGTATTTTTATGCATATTTTGCTTTTCCGTCAACAGCGATTAAATTACTTTTATATTTCAACTTTCAAGATAAAACCACTTGATTGAAAGAACATCACGCTATTGCAACGAGCTTTTGCTTATACTAAAAGCCTTATCGACTTGTTTTAACTAATCTACCTTGACATTAGGGGCATTTATATGGGCGAAAATAAGCTGCGGCTTTGAGATGGACGTCGCGAGCGACTCATGTAAACGGTCAATTTGTCCGCAAGCGGCAGCTAAAATATTAAAGACAACAGGGTTGAAAGCTAGGCCTAAGTCACTATTCGGGCCGCGGTTTCAGACTTAATTTCGCCATTGCATTATATATGACAAATATGAAAATCGGATCTTAATTTCGGCCTTGAATATTTTGTAGGCCTTTCTATTCCAGCAAATTCTGTTAAAACGTATAAACATCTAAAGTTTTTATGTACTATTTAAAGATTGTTCGCAATGCATGGTTTTGAAAGCGTAAAGGTCCAAACAGACCGGACGGCGGACGCGATTCGGCAACGCGAATTTTCAATGACATTTACCTTTACTATTTTTCCATGCTTTTCAAATATTCTTAACCACTTAAGCAATTTTAGCTATTTGGTCTGCATATCTTGTAAAATTTTTATCCGTTGACGGTTTTATTTGTTTTTAAAATCTGAAAATTCGCGTCGCGTTGTCGAATCGCGTTCGGTCTGTGTGGGCCTTAATAATTACATTTAAAGTAAATTATGTATTGCGGTATCACGCGCAAAACTGTACAGAACAGGTACGTAAACGTTGAGATTAATTACTTACATTTAGAAGAAACTTGAAGACTGTCTCCAATGCATATATTGCCAACGCCTTGAATCTCAAAGTCGCACAGAAACTTTGCGAGGGACACTATCATTTGACTTCAACGTCGCCTGGCTGAAGAATTACCGAGAATACAGTGCAATATATAACGATGATCATTGTTGAAAATCCGCAACTTTTCCCTTGTTCGACCGACCGTGTATGGTTCGCTGCTTGAAAGCGATGCGTGTGTACGGCAAAATAAAACCAACTCAAATTGCGCGCCTTGTCATCCGAGACAAAACAAATTAAATTTTTAACGTAACGCTCTGTCGCTCTTGTCGTGCTCAGTTTCTTTCAATTTTCGCCGGATATGATAATAATCTCACATTTTCATGGCACGCAAAGGAATTTCTGTTGCTTGTCTCGCTCTGCCTCGCTATATTATCGTCCATGTTTCGCTGTAAAAGCAGCGTGACAATTGTCTTGTTTGAGCGAGACAATTTGTCTTGCGATGTCACGCTCATTCAGGCCAAATTCTCGGCCATAAACAAGCGATACAAATGTCTCGTTCGTAACAGGCAGCGAGACAAAACCAATGTCTGGTTGTGTCTCGCTCAATTACCGCTGCTTTAATTGGTTTATGGCCAGATACTGGCCAGAATCTCGCTCAGTCAGGCTGTAACTTTTCGTACGGGAATGACCTTCAAGTCCAACTCCCTCTAAATCATTTGCTATCTCTGCTTCCTTTAACACCATATTGCCCTCAGCATTTTCAATTTGAAGCACTTTGATTGGCATTGGTATTTTTCTTTCCAAACACATTTGCCAACAGGTTTTCAAGTAATTCTCCTCTGCTTTGAAGTTGCTCGAGCGGAAATGGTGCAGGGTTGGTCCTTGAGGAACAGCATCAGGATTTCCCTTTGCATCAAAAAACTCAATATCACCATTTGTGCAAGTTCTCCACCAAATTCCATCGCCTGCTAATAAGAAATCACAAATTCTTTCAAGATGAGCTTGCCAAAATCTGGGATTCCTTGTTAGCATCTGTTTTGGAATAACAGTATTTTCAAAAGTTGGTAGAGAGGATGCAAGTTTGGTAACATGAGCTTCTTGTGTGTCAGAGATGGAAGGTTGTAGGGACTTAAGATCTTTCTCAGCCTGGAGTCGGATGAACACATTGCCAATGATATGGTGTGGATGGTAGGATGATGTTGTTCTTGTGATGCTGTTGATACTGTTGAAAACTCTTTCTTGCTCCTCGGTGTTTGTTGATATGCCACTGATCAATCTGTTCTGAATGGGTGCATGTGCTGTTATGTTGTGAAAGTAATTTCCATAAAACTTCCGGGTGGTCAGTTGCTTCAAGGAAAATCCAATAACAGACCTACACAGCATGCCATGGTACCAGGTAAGGTTATGAAGTCTCAGGACTGATCGTGGGGTTCTTTGTGCTTCTGAACTGTAGGCTATCTCTTGAATTTCCACAAGGGTGTCAAGTAACAACTGGACCATTGGATTAACGATGCCTCGAATCTGATTTGAAACCATGATCAAAGCGCATCGATAATCAATGGTCCGCTTTGTTTCTTTACCCCCAATGGATAATTCTAGAACAGCCTTCAGTTTAGAAGCTTCGTTTGTTGGTAGGTGGTCAGGAAGCTCGGTTAATAAATTTTCGATGTGCTTTCCAATGTCATGAAGGGGTTCAAAACCTAGAATTTCATAACTAGCACAGTTAATCGATTCTAAGGTTTTGTCGGGACGGGTGAAAAGTAATGCTGGCACTCGCTGAACTCCATGCAACTCCTCCTTCAGTAGATCTTCCAACTCTTTCTTCTTATCACCATCAAAGATTGATCTTGCGTTTAACTCCTTGACTAAGTTGGGTTTTGTCAGTCCGTGAAAGGGTTTGTTTGATTTTGCTAAGGAATTTACCTTACCACATGGGCCTTTTAATACCAACTGCTGTCGATCACCCAGAGACATATGTGGGCAACGAAACACATAATCTAGCTCATACACACGGTGAGCACTTGCACCACACAGAGCACAGTAGTAATTTCCTCCTTTTTGCTGACCAGCTTCATATTGACGTGAAGGGCTGTCGCCATGGAAGAACCTCATCTTGTCTATGAGCGGTTCACCGGAAGCAGTTGCTATAACTTCAGAAGAAAGTTCCTCCAAACATTCCAGTCTGGTATCAACATAGCACAACTGGTCTGCATCAGAGGATGAGGATCTTGCTACTATGTATAAGCTGGGGGATTCAACTAGAGATTGAATGTTGACCTTTCTTCCTGTCATAGCTTCATATTCACTGCTGGTGTAAAATGTTGCTGGATCATAAAGACAAGTTGCCATAAACACAAGGTGTGAATGGTTAGCCACAGTAGAGAGGTCATGCCATACCATCAAGTGCCGTGTTCTTTCCATTTCCTGCAGCCGTCCTTTCATTTCGGTTTCACACTCTCCATCCTTTGCTTCATTTAGCATTGTCAATCTCTTAGAACATTCTTCCTCACTCATACTGGCTACATCCTTCTCAGCATTCAATCTCATGAATCTTTCCAGTTCTGACAGCTTTCTCTTTCGAATTTCAATGAGGGGGCATTTGCGTCCTTCCACATAAAATTCAGACCTATTGACAGAACCATCATCATTGAGCACTAGCTTCTCGTACTAGAAAAGAAATAATTTAATTATTATTATTAACTTGCTGGAATAATTTATTATATACCGTAAAGTCTCGAAAGTAAGCGCCCTGCTTACTTTCGAAATTAGTGGCCTCAAGGGGCGCTTACTTTTGAGGGGGCGCTTACTTTCTAAGGGCGCCTACTTTCGAGTTGTTATTTTCAGCATATCGGCCATTTTTAAATCCATGCTACAGCTAGAGTATATATGGTATACTGTACATATGGTTTAGAGAGTTTCTTTTATAATATATACCCTATGTTTTACAACTTTACAAAACTTTTTTCGGGGGTGGGTGGGGGCGCTTACTTTTGAAGGGGCGCTTACTTTCGAGGGGGCGCTTACTTTCCAGATTCTCTAGGAAGTGTTGAAAAAGGCGCTTACTTTCGAGGGGGTGCTTACTTTCGAGACTTTACAGTAATTAACTTTAATAATTGTAGTGCCCACACCGATGATCAGTTCTTATAATATTTAATATATAATATTTATTTAGTTTAACTTAATATTAAAATGGGAACACTGAATGCAGTTATCAATTACTGCAAATTAAGCAAATTGTTCCATTTCACCAGTGAAACTTAATAAAATAAATTTAATAATAATTACCTTTCTTGGCACAATTAATTCTCCAACATTAATATCACCAGACAAAACCTTTTGCTTCAATTTGTCTTGTACACTTTTGTTAGTTTCAGGACATGGCACTGTGATTTCACCACCTGCACACCGTTTTAATCTTTTTCTGATATTTCCAGCATCATTTCCTGCTTGCCTTTTTTTAAATCTCTCCACATCAACTCCTTCTGATTTCAGCCATTCAAAAGCAATTTGACCACCATTTTGTGCCAAGTTTCCATTGATGTTTTTAATTCCATACCGCCGTCCTAATTCTGACCAATTTACCAATGTCCCATCACCATAGCCCATAACTTCAGCTTTCATTGCCTCCTGGTCCCATTCCATCTTATCAAACTTGCCAACTGGACTTTTTTTCTTCTTTTCTTGGAATTTCTCCAAATTACTTCGCTCAGTAGCCTCTTCCTTGCTCTCAAAAGCCATTGCCAACCTTTCCCTTTGCCGCCCAGATAGTGATTGCCTATTTCCAAAGCATCTATAAAATAGAAATATTTTTCGTTTTATATGTTGTTTTTTAATGATAATGAGGCAGTTTGTCCTATATTATATTTATATGATTAATTAGATGTGTCCATATCATTGCAGGCAAATGTATTAACCCATTAAGGTGCAAGAGGAGACCCTAATTGTCAAATAAACTCCACTATACATCATTATATACAGAATAAAATAACAAAGTTGAGTACCAGGGTGCATTGTGCCTTAATAGGTTATGGTTAATGAGAGGCTCTGTGACCCCAGTGATTCATCTTAAGTTTGAGAAATGAGATTTTTCCAATAATTAATTTCTGTATACAGGCTATGTAGCTGTCAGTCCATTGGGGCTTATCAACCTACAATATTACATGTCCCAAATATTTAATGACCAAATTAACCCACACATTCAGGGCCATACACCGCCGGGGAGGAGGGCAGGGGGGGCAACTGCCCCCTCCAGAAAAACTATATTTTCGATATTTATAATGTCATTATTAATTATTCTTTGGATATTTTGGACTTTTTTTGGCGTTTAGGCCTTACTGCCCCCCCCCCCCCTGGTGAAAAAATCCTGCGTACGGCCCTGCACACATTTACCTGATAAAAGATGTATTTTCCCATTCTGTTTCTACTGCTTCCTTGAATTTTCTATAATTATTTCTTACTGTTCGTTTTTTTTCAGCTTTAGACTTCTTCTCCTCAATATTGAGATCTTTTACTTTGGTCAATGCTTTAACAAGGGAATGTCCAGTGATCTTTTCAAACATGGGGTTCAGCTGGTCGTACAAGGACTTTGCAGTCTCACCTGCTTCACGGAGAGTGGTACTCCCTGGTTGACTTGGCAGTTGGACTTTAATGGCTTTGTTCGCGACTTTGGGATTATTCTCCTTCATTAAGCCGGTGAACCTCTTGCATTTGGTAGGAAATAAAACTTGTATGTGATTGTATTTCAGCTGACATTGCTTACAATTTTGGAATGTATGTTTAGCTTGCATCGCCGGGGAAAGTTTATTCCAAGCTTCGATGTTGAACATCGTCGTGTATTGATTGCGTTCTGCGATTTTCCTATGATTCCATCGACTAAATTTCTCGCGAAGTGGTGGAAAAATTGACTGAAAGCGCTTGAAGTCAACGGTAAAATTCTCCTTGTAACATTGGAATATGACAGTAAAGCGATCATATCTCTCTCGCAGCAAGCGCACACGATAATTCTTTCGCGTCTCGTTCTCTTCGCACTTTAGATTTTCATCTGCGTCTACTTGCGCTGACACTTGCCAAGCAACTCCTCGCGCAAAACCGCACGTCAAAGGATGAAGGAACGATCCACACATTGAGAAACGTCTTGGCTTAAATGCGGTGAGATTATAAAAGTACTAGCTGTATATAAAGTGAAGAAAATAGACTCGATTTTACCGAGCTAAGGATTGCGTTGTTTACAGCTGTAGAAAGTTTTGTAATTTGCGCCAAAATTTGAAACTTGCGGATTTGCGTCACTGATCTTGTGATAACTCGATAAGCCACTTAAATGTATATACATTTTTGTGCGTATCTGTCGCTAAATAATATGACAAAACGTTCTTACAATCTTACTCTCGGCGAATATGTGATAGCACCGAAGTGCTTTTAATTTTATTACAGAAACAAATAATATATACACAGTTATATTTTGTGTAATATCGTCTGTCATTGGCATAATTATGGTATTTGGAGCACGCTAATGTATTGTTAGAATACAAAAAATTGGCTAAGAAAGATAAAAACCAAATAAAAACTTGCTTCTGACTTTGTCCGCCATGTTGTTAAACAAATCACCATGGAAATAACAATATTATCGTGTTTAGCCGCTGCGTCCATGCCGACGATAGCGCTGGCGCGATTTCATGATGGCGACGGATATTATTTATATCACGCGAAGAACGCGTTCGGCTTGCAGCAGTATAAATCTAAAGTATTCCTATTGCCTTATCTACTAAAAACATTGACAAGGGATCAAAGTTTCTTAGGAATATATGGAAACCGTACATTTATGAAAAGAATACCATTTAATGTGTCAATTATACGTCTTATAGTGCTAACCGTCTTATTATAAACTCGTAAAGCAATGAAACGAGTAATGAATGTCAACTTTCAAAGTTTAACTTATAAACATTAGTATCAGGAGTGGCCGATCATCGCAATTTTCCGTTATCGTGAGCATGAATTATGCTGCTGCAGAGCCAAAGAAGCCATTTTACGTGTTATTATCCTTAATATATGTCACGTTATCGTTGCCATGACAACGAAATGTAGCTTAACTTCAAGCCCCTGTCTTGACAAATGTTATAATACTTGAACGGTAACAATTGAAAGCTTGACTAATTTTTTACAAATTTTAATCTATTTTTCTTGAATTTACAATCTTGGACCCAGGCATTAATGTACCTGAGTATCCAAGGGGTTCATGCAGTCAAAGAATTTTGAACGTTGAACATTATCGTTATAACATTGAACATTATCAATTATATTGAATACTATCGTTACAACATTGAACGTTTCAACATTGAATATTATATTAATAAAAAAATGTTTGGGAATTTTGAAGATTGAACCGCCGCACAATTTTTGCGCGGGAAAATAAATGGCTTCAGTACAAGAAACAAATGATGAGAATGACCTAAACTTAATTTCTGATGAAGAATTTATTCTATTATACGATGGAATTACGTTAAATAACGACTTTAAGCAATCTTACTACCCATACACCGAATGCGAGCCTTTCAACTGGGAAAATTATGATCCTACATGCAAAATCGAGTTGAGGCTTGAAAAAAGTGATATTCTTCAACTGCAAGACTATATTGTACGAACATGCATACTTACAAATCAGATGTTAAATTACAAGAGCAATCGACAATCCTTCGCGACTGAAAGTTCGTTGCATAAAAACACTTTTCAAACAGATTGACAGATACTGCGCATACCCAGAAATCCAGGGATGTAGCTGCCGAAGGGAGGAGTAGAACTCTCCCAACCAACACAGGCGGAAAAATCATGTAAAATCACAAAAGGTTAGGAATAAAAATCAGTTAAATCTGAGATTAACATATATGATCAACCAAATTGTTAAGTAATGGTGCTTTTGCGCATTGTTCGGTTGGAAACAGTAAAAAAACACGTATTTTATTGTGATTTATAGTCGGTTACTCGGTTACGAGATCAGAACCTTTCAGGGACGTGCTGGCTAGGGACGAGCCTACGAGAACTTGTTGTCCATAAGCCCCTACCATTATGGGCCCTAAAATTAAATCATTGGAAAATATGAAGAAAAAAATTTAAATTTTGAACATCAGGATTAACTAAGCTACTACAATTAATATTTTTAAAATGCAAATTTACGAAAATATTACCGAAAATTTACAAATTACTGTACACTAATTCGAAAGTTACTGAAAAATGGTATGTCGGGAAATTTTTTTACCCTTCAATGGAAAAATAATTGATTGGAATACAGTATTCAGTGTCCTTGCATGATATAGGCTCTTAACTAAAATTTCAGGTAGAGCTAACAATTTTTAAATCAGGTAAAAACAACCGTACATCCCCAAAAGAGAAGACTTATTTACAAAGTAAGTTGATTGAACAAGGTAAAAAAACTTGATCAAACGTAACAGTTAATCTTAAAGTTTGCTATTAAAATTTTATGTGTTGCTTAAGTTCTATGCTCAGTACATACATATAATAGTTGTGCACTTGCTTTATGAAGTTATTATACCAATTGAAAGGTGAGAATTATTTACCTCCGTATCATCCGTATCAATTGTAACTTCAGACACATATATTTCCTCGGTTCAGCTACAGAAAGTGAATTCAGTGAAGGACGCCAAAATTTGTATGAAAAGTGCCCGTGAAAGCCCCCCCCCCACCCCTGCCTCTTTTTCTTCTTCCTACGCCCATTGATAACAACAAAATGTTGGATGAGGTTTTTTTTTAATTCGAAATGATTAGGGTGGAGATAAATGTTATCAGCAGAGACCAAAGCCAAGCTGGTGACAAGATCTATGTCCCACAGCATGATGTTGTGAAGGCATACTCCATCATGCAGTACTTTTGCCCCTCTGGCACAACATGATAAAGCACGAACTTAGTCCGCGGTATGAAAAACTACTTTCATAAGATTCTGACACTGCAGAGTACAACGAAAAATTTCTTGTCTCCAGCAGGATTCCAACTCGCATCCATTGATCTACGGCCGCTAGGCCAAGGCCTCTGAGTAATTGAGCAATGGAGTCAACGAGGATTGGTATTGGCAATTTACGTGCGCGAAATATTTTCATGACGGCTTTGTTTGGAGAACGCGCAATGTTCCAATTCTATTTCAGAACCATCCTCAGAGAACATCACGGAAAAACGTCTGCGCATGCGCTAGAAAATTGGCGGGGATTGTAAACAAAAACATGGCTATTTAATATTTAAGGTAAGGGAAACAACCAACAACTTTAATAGACTTTAATAAAAGGTTTTCTAACATTTAAAATCTAAAAAGAAACAGAATTTAAATTAAAAACTATCGTTTTAGACCCGGAGGCGTGTGAACATTTCTTGAAAAATTGTCGAATACAGAACAAAAGTTAAGCAAACTATCAAAGAGTATACTGAATCATTACCCTTAAATATAGTCAACGCACAAATTATACATGCTAAGCAAAAAAAATATTGAGAAAAATGTGGATCATATGAACGTACGAAAAATATCTTTGTATGGTTCAGTTAAAGAATTTTTTATACAATCAATTTATCGACAATCACTTTGATTCATTTTCTTGCATAATACTACTTCTTCCACATGCACTCATGTAGACTGTAATTATTTCTAGTTTTTAGTTTGTCACATTCATTATTCCGCTTGCATTTACAGAGAAAAGGCAAAACATCGAAGACGCTGCTTGTGACAACCTTCGGAATACTTGTTTTTGATATACTTGACATCACGTTCGCAAGGCAAAATTCAGTAAGGTTGACGCATAGGCATACGTTTTCCGTGGTGTTTCCACGGATATATGACAGCTTTTAGTTTCATATTATTCTGACATGCGTCAAGTCTTCACGAAAATATTTGGTGCACTGCGATCAATTGGCATGAATAAGACTCGCTACCATGCGCGTTGATTCGATACGATCAATGGCTGCGATCAGCACAAAAAACAAAGTTTTCATTGTATTCTGCAGTTTCAAAATAATATCAGAATTACAAATACAAGCATGCAGAAGCCACCTTACTTGCTACACAACAACAATAATTACGTGCAGCAATTATCGAGTTTAGTGTCTTAATATATTAATCTTCAGATATACTGTAGTAGTATCATCTACAAAAGTTCGCAGTTTGTATCCTTCGCTACCTACACGACGTCCACCGTTGAAGATTATTTAAACTATTAATATTATTCTAAACCTGCACGTTTTATGCAAATGGTGTCCTTGCACGAGTGTGTCTCTAAGATAGACGTATTTTCATCTCAACATTCTTCATGGTTTTCCAATCATTTTTCCAATGGTACCAGATAATTCCTTGCGCAGTCACATTTGACGTCGCGAAATACAGCCCATTCAGATTGGAGTAGCCACACCTTTTGTTCCACCAAGCACTTTGGCGTTTCGTTGCGCAGTTCTGGTCAAGCTTTAAGTCATTATCTCTGTCGTTGGTCGTGAACATCATTCCGTTGAGATTACTGAATGAATCACCAGCATTGCCTGAAAATATTCAGAAAAATCCCAAAACTTTTGGAGTTTGAGTATGCTTATCAGATTCCCATCTTGGGATTTTTGGCTTCACTTTCCTCCCGTGTTATCGGGGGCTTAGGAAGATTGGTAAACGTAGGGGAAAGAGGGATGGGGGCATTTGGAAACCTGGTGTCTCTAAATCGTCCGAAATGAGATTTTCATTGTCTTCTCTAGAGAAGGCTCTGAAAATCCCATTTCAGACGATCCGTGATTCAAGTGGGATTTTTTTTTATTAGTCGGCTGAAATAAGCAATAATTTAAAAAAAATTCAATTATACGCATAAAGTTGAAACATGCACGCATGGAATCTTTGATATATTTGATATAAAAAGTATCATGGTATCAGGAATGAAGTAGCGTGATCTTAATCCATGAGGAGTTCGTTTGATGGAAAGAGCCATGTATAAAGCTACATTTTTCGCATTTTCTAAAACATATTGTTGCTTATAATATTATTTATACTGTTGTCCACCGAATTTCAAGTCTTTTTAGTTACTGTTTACACATAGAAACTGCTTGTAACTTAAACCAGGCAATATTTTACGAGAGAAGCATGTATGTATATACCACACTACACACTTTTATAAATTTAGTATGGTTATGTTCTGTCTAACTTTTATTGCCTTGCTATAAGTCAATTGTTATATATATTTACCTGAAAAATTACCAATGTTTAGTTTGTAACTGTCTGACTCAGAAGCCACAGAAAAATTCTTATACTCGGCGTAGGCGTGTGTGCGAGCAAAATCCCACATGTCAATTCTTAAAATACTTTGAGTAGAAGATGTGGTCAAACGATGTATTTTATCCAACCCAAGCCAGAATTCGCCGGTCAAGTGACCAAAACCAACTTTATAGTCTGACCAACCACGATAGAAATCTACACTTCCGTCCTGTCGTCTTTGAAACAATGTCCAACCTCCGCCATCTTGCATATCACACCAGACTTTGAATGTTCCGAAGCCATCAGGATCTATAAGATACACACCATCTTCTCTTTCCCCGGATTCATAAAAACTTTAATAGGTATAATAAAAAGGTTAAGGCAATGAGAAAGTATCGAATGTGCCTCAATGGAAAATTTTGACGTTGCGCCATAATGTATTCAACAACAAAGTATACTTGATATTTATATAGTATACTGACAGTATATATGTACCAATTATTCTCGCTGCTTGCTTTCCCGCGCAATACCTCTGAATTAAGATTGGGGCCAAATAATTTTCTGTGGACGGTACAGTGCGGCGAAGCTACCTCCGTTAATGTCGCAGACGAGAGGAGGAAGGGGGTCCCGAAAACATTCTAGTGCCGTTGTCACAGGATTTTCGCCCCCACGAGATTCGCCCCCTCTTAGGGTATATCTTAGGGCATTCGTCCCCTCCCCTCTTTAGGTAATACCCCCCTGATCTCAAAACAAAACGATTGCAAGTTGAAAATGGCGTTAAAGTGCGATTTTTCTTACATTAAATAAGAAAAAAATTACCCAGATGTTTTAGACTTCTTAGCAACAGGTGGTGCGCACAGTCGGCAGAACCATTCATTTGGTACATTTAGCCTAGAGTCATAAGTCTCATATTGTGCACGGCATACGCGCATTCACTAGTGACAATTATAAGCAATATATTTTTCGATAACGACAAAACATGGATGTAAAACAATATTAATAATACACATCTTTTATAAGCATTTTGAAAATATTTAATATATCGAATAATGTTCAATTACGACGAAATGTTTCTGGGCCTTGCATGGGTATGGCACTTTGCACAAACTTTCAACAATGGTAATCATTTATAAGCTTATTGGAAAATTATGTCAACCATAATATGTCGCGTGCAGTGGCTTTAAACCTGATAAAATACTCCTAATTAGTATTCTTTATATATAGAATACTAATAAGGCAGTACCTATTGTAGTCGTGTCCTCATCAGTATTCTTTATATAAAGAATACTAATAAAGCAGTATATCTATTGAATTTGTAGTCTTGTTTGAAGCCGTTTAATAAACTCGCAGGTCGTGTTTTATTACCTCGGGTCGGTACGACACCGAGATCTTAAATTCGGCTCCTATTTTTTTTTTTCTTGTTTTTTTTGTTTTTTTTGCCATTTGTGTCGAGCCGCGCGCGTAGTCGAAGATCGAAGGGCCTGCGGAGGAGACGACAGCTTCCGGTAAATAATTGTACTTCCGGCAAGCATCGGCCAAAGCGAAACGGAACCCGAAGCTGTCCTTGCACAAAATCCGTCAGAATTGTTGATTTAAAACCAGAAGATGTGATAATTTTGACATACATGTTTAGCTGGATAACTATTCTCGAGTATATGTTGATATAATGTACAATATATCGTATGCATAGCATGGGAATACCGCGGCCAACTTTCACTTGTTATCTAATATAATTACTGACCCGAATCAAAAGTAATTATTTTCGGCTGGAAGACTACTGCACGTTGCTGCTTGTCGGGACCGTATGACAATGAACCTATCCAACGTTACACTAGACATTTGTGAGGACATGCATATAGACATAACCATAGGCACTGTAGTGCATTGTGATAGAACAGATTTCAGTTTAATTAATCGCTCTAAATTAAAATCTCCACAAGCGGAGGTCAATTATAGTGTTCTAGTTTACATATTATCATTAATGATAAGGTTTACTCAAATAGCGTATTGGATAAACACGGGAACAGAACTTATGGTGTATTCTGCACATGCGTATATCTAGGATAAAATCCCACGAGCGCAAACGAAACTATTTCTCTATAAAATTGAACTGAAAAGACTCACAGCGACCGTTTCCAACAGTGCTTCAGGCACCCGACGACACCGTATGGGGGGCCTTTAGCACTGTCACCTTCTCATATTGGGATGTTCACGTTATCGCGTGTACATGTCAGGGTGACGAAGATGCATTATTGCTAATAATGTCTGTGTGCACTGATGCACGCTGCATTATTTTTAATAATGTTGTGTGCTATTTTAACGCGTACATAGAATATGACGCGTATAAACATTTACCCCTGAGCCGGAATTTCCCTATACAACCAAAAAGGCCGCTCCCGTTTTTCAGTAGAACGTTAAATGAAAACTTCTCGACATTCGCTGATATAATGCAGAGAGAAAACAATAGGTTTGATGAGGGCCAGTAATTATTGTCAATAAAATATTAAAACGGAGCTTTGATTAACTGATTCACCATTTATACTAGTGAACTATTAAACTATCGTGATTTACACAATTTTTGGATATTTACCAGACGATCCCCTATCCACCGACCCGAGGTTAACGTTGTTAGGTCTAAAGCCATTCGCTTTAAACCTAATAAAACACTCCTGCTCGTTTATTAAACAGCACATAAGATCGTGTATTTAATTTTAAATTAGTTTACATATCGAAATTCGACCAATTCCATCATACGTATTTAAAAGTATTGGAGGCGAAACCAGGATTCATAATTAATTGTGTAAACGATCTCTGGTTAAAAAGATTTATTTGTTACGGCAAGCTTTCAACTGCCAATCTGCAGTCTTCGACGGGTAGATTAATAATGCGCTAGTGAATTAAGATATGATACGAAGTGAATAGTGCTATATAATAGCGGTTTACAATTACATTTACTGACAAAAAAGACAATTATACTGACAGTTCCGCCTACATAGAAGATTGGTAACTAATTATATATTGTGCATAATTTACTAGAGCTTTTTGAGCGAAAAGCAAAACACCCCAGATTCTGGGGTGTCACGTGACCAGCCCCAACCAGGGTCTTTCCGCAGCTTTTAGAGCTTTTCGGAGGACTGTTTGACACTGGATAAATTTTACAGATGGAGGATAAATACTCAGGCCAAATTTGGTATTTGTTAGAAAGACAGTACTTAGTGTTCCTGATATTGGCTTGAAGCTATCTGCGGATATATTTGTTGGCAATAGAATCGATACTTTCAGTAACCCATGTTTTAGAGAGTTTTGCGACGGAGAAGGGCCATGCTAACTTGGACAAGACGTAGCGACTGTAGAAGAGAAGTTTATATTTGGGGTGCAGTGGCTTTGAGTCAATATCAGTCATTAGTTCATTAAGTAGAGTGGTTAGTTAAGTTTTATGTTTATCATTCGACATGCGGAAATCACTTGCAAGTGATGAACCAGGCGGGAATCGTAATCGTAGTATAAAGATTAATGTCCAGCATAACGTACGCAAAAGAGCCATATAGATAATAATATAATATAAAAAATTTATTTAAGAAGCACTAACGTTTCGTCTTTAACCTAAGACATCTTCAGAGTAAATGAATATAGTAATTTATTCATATTTGTAACCCATTGTCATACTTATATTCATTTACTCTGAAGATGTCTTAGGTTAAAGACGAAACGTTAGTTCTTCTTAAATAAATTTTTTATTTAACAATTATTCGCCGAAGGCGAGGTGATTATCGGTGAATAAAAACCGAGACGAAGTCGAGGTTTTTATTCACGATAATCACCGAGCCTGGGGTGAATAATTGTTTTAGTATAATTTCATAGGTGATTATATGGAAAAAATAAAAAAATACACATCTCTTCGTCATTTAATTGACAAAAAGGCTTCGGCCGCCATTTTGAAAATCGCTTAGGTGATTATCGCGTAATAATCACCTCAACGGCAACCAATCAGCGTGGAGAATTTTCAATAATTACCTATGTAATTATACTAAATTATATTATTGTCTATATGGCTGTTTTGCGTAATAGTGGAAATCAAAGTAACGTCCTAAATATTGAAATGATTCTCCTGGACCAATGGTAATTTTTGGTATTAGTTGATTGCTGATGAGGAGTTTTGGCAAGTACTGAACTGATTTTGTGATCGCTTTTTTAATGCCAAGGTACTGCATTTGTCAACTCGGATAATCATATCAGACCATTGGCACCAGTGAGATAGAAAATAGATTTAATAGATGTTAGTTTTCGGATTCTTGGCCAGTACTTACTGCCGCAACATCAGCAAACTGGGACCTGTTGATGGGATTAAGTAATTTGAAGGAAAATCCAGAATGACGGTACTTTTCAGCATTGGTATGCTGAATGAATATATTGAAGCACATGTTAAAAAGAAGAGGAATGAGGCAATCTCCTTGCAATACGCCATGGCCAACTATAATAAAAGGAGTGGGAATTCAGAGGTAATTATCGAGGTTTGGAAATCAGTATATAAACTTTTTATAACAAATTTAATGCGGACACGACTACAATAGATACAGCGTTATTAGTAAACTTTATATAAAGAATACTAATTAGGAGTGTTTTACCATGACAGGTTAAAAGCCACTGCACGTGACATATTATGGTTGACATGATTTGCCAATAAACTTATGACAGAATTATTAATGAGTGTTTGAAAGGTTTTAGTGATCTTGAAATTTCGAAGAGCACACAGAGTATAGTTTTGAGTGCAAAATGATTAGTGGTTGTCTAGATAAAAATATTGCGTGATCCCTGTTGTGACGTACATACATATCTACAAAAATTCTTCATGAAGATGGCGGACATTTTATACCTTTCGATCAAAACATTTGTAGCAGTAAGTAAGATATGAAAAAAACGGTAAAGAGTATTATATATATAGTCTTAAAAGTTCTCCCAAATCAAAAAATAAAAAAATATATTGCCATTTCCCTTTAACAATAACAAAATAAATCACCAAATTATTGAATGTAATATTGGTACCTCTGACGTTGTCCTCTGAATCGTTTGCAAAACAGCTGGCATTGTATTCCTACAGTGGAAAAGCTCGTTAATTTAATTTTAAACTATTTTCAACATCGCTTGTAGTGATTTTAGGTGAAATAGCTACAGTCCTATCAGCTATTATACTGTATTAGTTTATTAATGATTTACCCTGGTTTCCCTAAAGCTAAGTAATTTATCAGTCGTTATACTGACGCCACTAATTAGATAGTTGAATGATCAGAAAAAAACCCCTGGCAAAACCACTTGAATTCTCTGGCCATACATGGGCACACATTTGCTCTTTTGCGTTGTTTCTAGGGACAGAGGAGAGGAAATACTAATTCCGGCTTTCGTTGAAAAATTTACTATACGGCCACACTCATCTTACCTTTTCTGGGTCAACAAGATAGACATAATCGAATGAAGAGGTTTTCATCAATGCATTCTCAGAACTATTGTGGACCACGTTGTGTAATATTTCACAATTTGGTTCATTCTGGAAGGTTGATGTCTTTTTATAGTTAATTGATCTACAGCATGCCTCTTTGTAGCATTCCATTACGCAAGCTAACTTGTCGGAAACAACTTTAATCATCAAAACTTTTGTATCAAGCTTGAAACCTGAAATAATGACAGTATCAATTGGCATCTGGAAGTAATTCTAAAACTTGAATATTTATGGAAGAAAACATGGCTTTTTTAAGCGCGATCTCAAAAAGTATATATAAACTCTGTTTTCCTACAATTTATATAGTGTAAGGATTACACTTTCCAATTTTGCTATTCTTTGACAATACAACGTAACTGTCTTGCGGTACTATCTTTTTCTGATAAATTTGGCGCTTACCTTTCAACCTTAAATTATACACATTGTTCACACATCTGGCTTTCGCAATTTCCAGGAGAGTGAATGGCATGAGTAAATACAACAAATAGTATTTTGAATACATTGTTGCTCGTCCTGTTATCAACGCTCTAAAATATAGAAACGACTGATAGTACTTTTTTGTAAAATTAGAAGAAGCAAAGGTTTATTTTAAATAACATTGGATGAAACTACATAATAAATTGAACTACATACACGTACTTTCACGGCCAAATCTCAGCCATACGCTGTCACGATTAGAGAATGTATGTTGTAGTGTTGTACAATTGTTTTGTTAGTTTTCAATGCAAGCTGTTATCAATGGCGTACTAATGAATATTGCCAAACGTGATGCTTTACCTTAAACATTTGCTGATTTCCGCACGCGTAATACGGAAAGGCACTTGCCACTGCATGGGAGAACCTTTGCGCAGAATTTGGTGTAATAGGTAATTAAAAATACAATGGCGGATATTCAAGCGAGATCATGTACAAAATATATCGCAAAATATAAAGTCCCTAAATTTCGACTTTCAGCTGTTAAATTTTACGTGGATTATCAGAATTGGTAAGATTTTAAAAACATGGGAAAATCGTTTATAGTTTTAAGAAAACAAGCCCAGATGAAACTCGGCTGCAGGTTTTGCTTTCAAAAGAGCAAAAAAGACAGACGTGTGTGTTACATTACATTACATTATTATTCAGCTCACACGCCATTGTGGCTTTCAGTGACCGATTACATCAAGTATAATTACGTTCATGTTACTTACTTAGCCTCGACTATTTATCTTTACAACTATTGAGATATTACTTTCCTAACTGTGTTTATCCTAACTCACCCTGTCAACTTTCCCTGTGGTAGGAAACCGGAGTGCCCTCAGAAAACCCACGACTTTCGGCAGTGCGTTGACAGACTCTTTTCATATGAGTCCATAGAAATCGAACTCACCAATCTCGTGGGGTTGCGAACACATGATCACAGAGGTGAAAGGCACTTGCTCTGACTACTGCGCATATTGTAAGCCTTTAGACCAATGATAACTTAGTTTGGTTTCTTAATGTTTTGTTTAATATTTTTGTTTGTGATGATTGTTTTAAAAGTATTTGTTACTGTAAAATGTGCTGCTCTATACACTGTTATCCGCTCTATACAACGTTTTAGTACATAAATCTATTTACGTAAAACTTGTACTCCAATTAACTATGACAAGTTTTCATCTGACAAGTTTTATTTTTCAATTGCCTACGCGTAGGTGCAACAAATTTTCTATTGACAAGTTTTAGTTTTCTGACAACCATGATGGCTATTATTAGATATTACAACAATAGACATGTACCAATCGCATGCAAGTGCTCAGATTACTTTGCCAAATGTACTTGTACGAAAATTGGCGTACTAAGTTTTGAACAAGTGTGTACTGGTTACCACATACTGCTATGACCAAATGAAACTTGTCATGTGACTAAACGTGCCATAGAAAACGCGCACGTCTGTAACCAGGGGCGGAGCGAAGACTATCCTTTTCGTGGGGTGCAAGACAACTTTTTGCCGACAAAAGGGCGTGGCTAGCGCGCGGTTAGGGCGTGGTCAAAGCGAACCGTATTCATTTTTAAGTGATGTACAACGATTAACTCCGAGTAGTAAGAAAATTTATTTTAATTTATTTTTAAAATAGGCGAAATAGTTCCGAAAAAAATCGAAAAAGCACATCCATTCGTCATCAAACGACCGATTACAAACTAAACACGTCAGTAATTTCTCTCTGTTCCGTTTGCGTTTTTGCTTGCTACTATCCATACTTTTAAATCATCTCCGTATTTCTCATTGTATAAAAGACCGTTAAGAGTAATTTCTAAGACCTTTACTGACTTTACAAGATTATGAAATGAAGCGCAGGCGCATCGACAGTCAATACGCACATGTGCTTCGAATTTCCTAGTTATGGTATAGGCCTACTTCACAAAATTGCAAGAAAATATAATACTACTAAAAACCGTATTAGCGTAATAAGTTCTTGGCCAATTTAGCTGAATGTTCGGAAAAGGGCCGAGCTTTCAGTCGACATATCCATCTTTTCGAGCTTTCAGTCGACACACTGTAAATTTCAGGGAGTAAAAATTACCCCTTTGAAGGTCAAAAATTACTCTCTTGAAAGGAGTAACGGATTTTAGGGTAGAAATTACTCCATAATGCAGGGTAGTTAGTAGCCAAATCGTTGAATACGGAGGGGTAATTGAGGGGTAATTGAAAGAGGGGTAAAAATTACACTGGTTTTGCGGGTAATGTTACGCGGTGTATATTCGGGGGTAAATTTTTACGGGGTAAAACTTACCCCTTAGTTACCCTTCAATTTTTCAAAATGGCGGCGACGCATGGAGTGGCAGAGACCCGCAGAGTCTCTTCGCGAGTATACGATTGAAATTTAACCGATTAATTTTATACATCAAGCGCATAAATTTGTGGCCATCGAATGAATTGATGACTGGCGTCTTCCTTGGGCAAATCATTGTTATTAAATGTGTTGGCGTCGCCAGTTTCCTCAGTGTTAGCGTCGTCAATGTTTTCGACATTCGTCTGAATACGTTTGATGTGCTTTCGCCGAAAAAATAATCCACAGATGCAATAATTATAAGACATTTATATGGCTTGTGCCTTTGGTTTATAGATTTCACACCACTCGCTTATAAGCGACTCCGGTACGAAAAGATAGAACACTAAGTTTCATTCCCAAATTATCGTATAAGGTATAAATTGCCATTGGGCATGCAACATGTGGCTGGTTTCAATTCATTAATCAACGTTGCGTGTTGCCGGTATCTGTCAGTTTTGATGCCGCGGAGATAGTAAAGCTCATGCAGATTGGTTAAAAGGTCTCCTATTTCGTTTTACTTTGTTCTATTATTGCCTATTCATGCCCCCAAAAGAGTCCCTGAAACAACCAAATTTGTGATCGCGTGACACGCTTATAATCGTGACCTTGTTATTTTGAACTTATCACAAGAAACCTTAGAAACGACACCTAAGGGTTTATTTCCGCCCACTGGCCGTATCATATACTATTAAAATGTAGGCAGTTTTTTTTTTTGTGAGCACTCGGGCAACATTGTTGATTTTGGAAAAAAGAAAATACCTATATGACTGTAAATTTCAGGGAGTAAAAAGTTACCCTTTTAAAGGTCAAAAATTACTCCCTTGAAAGGAGTAATTGATTTTGGGATAGAAATTACTCCACAATGCAGGGTAGTTACGGTAGCGGAATCGTTGAATACGGAGGGGTAATTTAAAGAGGGGTAAAAATTACACTGGTTTTGCGGGTAATGTTACGCGGTGTATATTCGGGGGTAAATTTTTACGGGGTAAAACTTACCCCTTAGTTACCCTTCAATTTTTCAAGATGGCGGCGACGCATGGAGTGGCAGAAAAACGCAGAGTCTCTTCGCGAGTATACGATTGAAATTTTACCGATTAATTTCATACATCAAGCACATAAATCTGTGGCCGTCGAATGAATTGATGACTGGCATCTTCGTCGGGAAAATCATTGTTATTAAATGTGGTGGCGTCGCCAGCTTCCTCAGTGTTAGGCTGTTAGCGACATCAATGTCTTCGACATTCGTATGAATACGTTTGATATGTGCTTTCGCAAAAAATGATCCACAGATGCTACAATTATAAGGCATTTATGGCTTGTGGCTTTGGTTTATAGATTTCAAACCACTCACTTATAAGCGACTCCGGTTCGAAAACATAGAACACTAAGTTGCATTCCCAAATTAACGTACAAGGTATAAATTGCCATTGGACATGCAAAATGTGGCTGGTTCCAATTCTTTAATCAATGTTGCGTGTTGCCGGTATCTGTCAGTTTATATGATGCCGCGGAGATAGTTAAGCTCATGCAGATTGGTTAAAACGTCTCCTATTTCGTTTTATTTTGTATTTTTGTCCTATTATTGCCTATTCATGGCCAAAAAGAGTCACTGAAACCACCAAATTTGTGATCGTGATACGCTAATAATCCGGCGTGACCTTGTTATTTTGAACATGTTTTGAACCACAGTTTGAACTTAGCACAAGAAACCTTAGATACGAACACCTAAGGGCTTATTTCCGCCTACTGGCCGTATCATATACTATTAAAAATGTAGGCAGTTGTTTCTTTTGTGAGCACTCGGGCAACATTGATGATTCCAAAAAAAAATACTAGACTAACTGCCCAAGATCCTCTTGAGGAGAGTGCGAGGTTGGTCAGGTTGCGTGCATGATTTTACTTTGGGCCATGCAATCAACATTTCTCGCGGCGGGGCGCAAATAATTTTGAACACAATGACTTAACTTATCTGTGTTCACGTGTTGTATGCGCACCAATCAGCGAATGCGTATTTTTGGCGTCGAGTTAGAACACTGTGGTTACAAGTTACAACGAATAAAAGAACGAAGCGATCAGGCTTGTCATTTTCGCGCTCCGTTTGGGTCAAAAGCAATGTTGAATTTGTATCATTATTAACCTATTTCACAGGTAAGCGCTACTTATTTTGTTTGATATATACTAATATTTACACAAGGTTTCATTGTCGCGGAATCTGAATCTAGATGTACATTAATATATGTACGATATATACAGTATATGTGCATTACAAGGTCGTATAATTCTTGCGTGACTTTGAGTTCCTCTGCATGGTTAGTAAATTGTACACGTATAAACGAACATCATGTTGCCGGCAAAGCGCATTGATTATGTACGCCGTCGTGCTGACATGAACAGAGTGATTTCAAATTTCGT